GTCTTCCGATATGTCTGGTGTGCGTGTGTCCTGCAAACGATCCGAGGATTACATAAATTCATGTCTAAGTATGTTGTGCGGACATAGAGCTTTGCAGTTACCCAGATAGGGGATGGCGGTTAACTTATATAACCAGAGCCAGCGCCGTAGTTCTTAAAGCTCTTACTCGCAAAGTAGTGAGGCGATTAACGTGTATCGCGAACCGTCGAGAGCCGATGATACAACTTTCGAGCAGCAACAAACTACCTATGGCGCCGGAACAGTACGATTATATCAGTAAAGAGACCGTGGAACGTTTCCTGAAACATCCGACTTGTTGCTGAATGCGAACATAGTCGATAGCCAAGTGACGCAAATGCCTTCTTAGTGTTCAATGATAGTCCCCACAGAAGTGAGTAGTAATCGAGGTCGTTCATCAAGCTTCCGTTAAGTAGTTCATTCCAGTTAAAAAGTGGGTGGTCACTGCCCATATAGCCAGAAACATTGGCTTTGTGGTATTTAATGCGTAACCAGATGGCCAGACTCAAACTCCCCACACTTTGAGATGCTGCGCTGATTGTCCGCGGCTGTCTATTAAACGCACCTGCGGAACAAGCGAGACTCATTCACACTTGTTATCAGTAGGGAGGCAATCCACGACTCGTAACCTGCGGGAGCACGCGACGGCGTACCACGAAAACGTAAACCGCTGCGGGTAGACATCCCATCCTCGGCCTCGTCTTGCATCACTATTCCTCTACCCATAGCACATCATGGTATCACCGCAACATTAGCATACGCCTAACTGATATCATCATCATCATCTTTAGATGTTGTGGACTACACCCTAGCAACCTATGGGATTGGTTGAGCATTCACTTTATTACCAAAGAGTACTCAGTGTAACGGTTACACGCAGTGCGGGCTAGCTGTGGAACAAGCACTAAGACAGCTCATATATCAGCTGCATTACAATCTTATTGTCCACGTTGAGACATCGCCCATCGCAATTGCATGACGCCAGGAAGCTTTCTGCGCTACGAGCATCGCAACAGTAGTGTCCATATCCACCGGCGCACATGCGATTTAGCGGTTTGACCAAAGTAACCTGTGACCCCCGCACTTCAATGCGCCACTCGTATTGTGCCTGTGGCCCAGTGCACGCCAAGTGTCCACAGCACGCGATAGATCGTACGAACAAGCGCCTGGATTTAGTTTACGAATATGAACTGTCGGCCGTGTCAAAATGCGAGTAGCCAGTGACCCTATTCAACAACAGGCTCCGTTATAATGGTGCCCAAATTCTTAATCATACACTGACGCCGTTTCATCTTAGCCTGTCATGGGTGACCTCGGATTTTAACGAGTTACTAACCCATCCCTCGTCATGTAATGCGTCACCGCATATGTGACAAGTCGAACACGAGCAACTCCGGACTGTAATGATTCCCCTACACCCGTGCCCTATATATGTGTACACGTCACTGTTTACTATGCATCCGGTGTGCTATTGGCTGATAACGCTTGACTAAGGAAACAGCCGCACGACGGTGCGCGCACGTCACAGTCGCCTGGCTCAACTTGGCCCATCGGAAGGACCAAGCAGTTAGCATAACGGATGAAGTTGATATCTGGTTAGCTCAAGTTGTTACTTGTATGGCCTAATATGGATTGGAAATGGTATAGTGCTGAGTTGAGATAGATTCGACTGGTGATCCTTGTCGATAATATAAAGACAGATGAAGAAAATGAGACGAAAGACGAAGCAAAACATAAAAGTATTGGAAAAATGAGCAAAATTAGTAGGATTCGAATGGTAGTAGCTGGATACAACGGACCGGTAGCGAAGTTAGTACGTTGAAAAAGCTCATCAAAATATGGTACTGCTGACCTCGAAGAGACCAACTAAGGAAGACAGCACTCGTCTGTCGCACAAACCCTCGGAGATAATTGCTTCAAAGTTTCCTGACACGTCGTGCACCAGGTACAGTGCGTTTTCATCCAACTGATTGCGGTGATATCGAAGAAGACAAGCAGCGAGCCCGCGAGGAACACAGCCTAACCAACATAAACGGTCGAAGTTCAACAGACATCCCAGTGCGACACCTAGAGGGCTCCTACGCACCAAGTACCGGACTTCTGTATTGACTGCTCGGTATACCCCACCAGCCGTGAGCAATGCTCAGTGAGCACCGGTGGTCAAAAGTGATCAGTTTTAAGCGCGCAGTACCAGGTCCTCGACTTTTATGTTAAAGCTGTCCCTGCCCATAACCAACAGGCTGATGTTCTGCTGCCTCTGTAGACGGACACTAGGAAGTCACGCTAGCTTTGCAAATACGTGACAACTTCAATGGTGTGACTATTGATTGTGATACAACTATTTAAAGAAAGGAACCATTCTAGCACTCTCAAGGAAAGTATAATGACAGATAACTAGTGCGCCACCCTGTAAGCTGAAGACGCAAATATATACCTGAGTATGCAGCCCAGTGCATCAATGTGCCTAAAAGTATCTGTCCGTTGGGTCATTGGGTATACTCGTCACTGCATGTGAAGCTGTAGGGAGCCATTCACGGTCAAATCTATAGCAAGAAATTGAAGAAGGCTGTTGGAGCGGATGGACTTCATCCAGCCCACCTCAAATTCGACGTTCGCCAGGCACGATTTTGGCGTGAAGCTGCTCCTAAGTGAAGTGACCGACTGCTTGACTTCGAGTATGCCGACGACATTGCGCTCATCTGTGACAACTCACAAACGTGCCAAACTGCATTGGACAAATTAGCTCCGGATGTCAGTCGTTTCGGACTACGCTTTGCACCATGGAAATCCAGTCCTTCTTCAAAGTTGGTAGGGGCTCATGCTTGCGCTGACCCTTGGCGGTGACCAGCTAGAAGTCGTGAAGAAATGTAAGTAGATGGGCAGCGCCCGTGGGATTGATGATACTATCACGAACCGTACCGCGAACGTTCGAGGTGTTATTGCCAATCTCCGCCACCTGTGGCGCCGGCGCAACATCACCCTCGCTCTGAATCGCAGTTTGCAATGCAACCGTTCGTTCAAAGGTCGTGTACGGCTGTGAAACCTGGCCCATCAAGTCGACAGAGATAAAGCGGCTTATGTTTGACCATCGCTGCATTCGCAGCACAGCTCATGTCTGGTGGGAACACTATGTGAGCAGTGAGCGTGTTCGTCGTCGTATACTTGGTGCAAGAAGAGCGAGTGAAGCGCTCAGTAGCGTTGTTTCATGCACCAGGCTCCGATGACTGGATAATGTGTTACGCATGCTAGCCCACCAACTCCCGCAGCGTGGGTTGTTTGCGCGCCCAGTGATCTAGATGGAAGAAGAGGGGGGGGGAAGCTAAGCGATGACTTGGTCAAGAAAAATGAAGTCTCATACTTCGAACTTAGCGTCGGTTGCTGTTTCCCGACTGCCGGGCTAGGGTCCGAAGGAAGATGGACACTGGTTAGACACATTAGCCGACATGGCGAGGAGCCGACCTTAATGACGTTTGTGTTGTGATCCACTCTGCCCATCTCCTCCCCTTTAGCTCCCCCTCCAACGACGACCTTAACCCAATGCATATTGTGATTGTAGCAGTGTTACTATATTAGTATTTTTCTATGGCAGCACACTATTTCTCACTATCTGATGATAAGTTCGATAGCAAATTTGATGAGGAAAGGGGACAAAAGCCAATCAAAACGAACCTTACTTGTTATCAGGAGCTTACGACACTTCCTTATAGATTCTTATCCGACCTCTGGAATTGTTGTGGGCACAGATATATAAAAATTTCCAAGCTTGCCGTTTGGCGATAGACAATGCGGCCGTGAAACGAACGTCGCTAGCGGGGATTTTAAATAAGAAGAATCGCAATGATAATGGTATGCATGTCAACGTCCAGGTGATTGACGAGGTGCACATAGATGAGCACTGTATTAGCGACCACAGTGGAATCCCATGATGCTCAAACATCTGCCGTAGAACGATGATTGTGAGGCTAATACTTATATGGTTTGCGGATAAATCGACAGATGATAGGCTTGAGATTAACTGCAGCAATCTATACAGTGATGAATAGGGCGGTTAACCCAGCCATCAATTAGTCTCGCCCTCACTTGGGGTAAGAAGTCCAAGCTATCCCCAGTATATTATCATCCTGTACTGATTCAGCTGTCGGCCGGTGGCCGAGTGGTTGGCACGTTTGCTTTCCAACCATAAGGTCACCGGTTCGAATCCGCGTAGGGGTGGGCGTCCTCGCGGTATACTCAGCCCGCGCGCGACTGGTGGTGGTCGCGCGGCAGCGAAGCGCCGTTACGGCGTATAAGCTGACACATTTCATTTCATTTCAACGGCTTGGATATGGCAAAGGAGCTTGAGACCAGTAGGAATGGGGATTAAAAAAAGAGGTGGGGCTGCAACTCAAACATTTATAACCAATGTGGGAGTTAACGGGATCCCGATGTCTTGTTTCTACTTTCCGATGCAAACTCACGTTGAAAAACTCGAAAGGAATGATTCAGGTGATTCGGTAAAAAAGTATCAGTGAACTAGCAGCCCTGTTGTAGGTAGCGGATGAGATAGCATATATGGGATCCCGCTACGGCCGATGCAGTCCCCGGCGAAAATCCAGCAGTAGATATATGGTTGTGCGTGCGTAAAGCAGTGCTAAAGCACAAATTTGGTTAGGATGACTGTAGTCTACAAGGAGACTGCGGCTAAAGATTCTGAGCTCAGGGCGTTGGAAACGTAAATTATTTAGCTTCACGGAAACGACTGCCATCTTTGCTTTAAACACTAACTTGGGAGGTCAAGAGACTGAATTTTTGCCACTATTGACAAATATGATGAAGGTAGTTGTTGATGGACCCGAATGCAACACCGAGTATGGTCGAACAGGTGCGTATTTGTAACACGTCTCTTCCAAGAAACATTAATAATCGGTATTATGCGAAATGCCGCCGTCGTTTGTTATAAACTTGAAACATACTCAAAAGGTTAACGAAAACTGGAAGATACATCACCAAGTCGAGGTTGATGTACTGGTAACTACAACAACTAAAAACAAGAGGGATGAGGGGTGTAAATATTGGCTCATATAAACATGAAACGCGGCAGCTACAGGGTGACTAACTTGATCGTATTCGGAGGAGCCAGGATACAGAGGCCAACCAAGGAACAGTTCGGCTATGACGCAACCAAGGGACCACATATCAATAGCCTCATTGAAGGGAAGCCCAAGTAATATCTCAGGAGCTCTATAATACCTTGATTGTAGATAAGTATTTTGAACGGCTTTGGAACTGTGACATGCTGAACCAAAGTCGATAACTTTAACACGATAACGCAATGGGCCATTAGTGGACGAAACAAGCATGATATTCTCTGGTTTTAGATCAGCATGGATCAGACCAAGTGCTTTCAGTTTGGACAGAGCAGTCAGTACCTGCTGTGTGATAGGACGAATCTCAGGGAGGGATAAAGGTCGAAATTTGTTCGATTTCAAGTATTCGTATAAATTCTGTTCCAGTAACTCAAATACAAAACACATGTGATTTTTGTGTTGAAAGCATTCAATTGCCCTCACAATATTGTAGGACTCAGTGTCTTGCTGACTCAAAGTCTGAAGAATCTGTATTTCTACGTTTCCCTGCCGCAGGTATGATGGTAGGTTTTTCAGTATCTTTATTGCAACACAGCGTCTAGACGTTACACAACGACACTTGACGACTTGCCCAAAGGTACCTCTGCCAAGGAAAGCTAAAACTTCGTAAGACTCATTAGTGGAACGTAAGAGTTCGCCAACAACTATTGCATAATCGCCTTGAGATGTGTTGGGCTTCGCAAGTGTTTTCGAAGCGCCCGCAGCTATGTTAGCGCAGCAGTTGGAGGAGGACAGTGACCCTGAATTCCCAGTAAGTAAGAAGCCGCCTCCGGTTGCTGCATTGTGATTCGGTTGCTTTGAAGGTAGGGTTAAACTCCTATAAGCAAAACCTTTCGTTGCTTCATAGGACGGAGCATAAGGTGATGGAGCGACGTAGCGACATTGACTCTGAGTGGCAGGCGACTCTGTGTGGTCAATTAGTTCCGAATCTTCAGCCTTCCGCTTTTTGTTCAAGCCATGTTGAAACTTACAATGCGCGTCTGGGGCGACTAGCCTCGCATGAATCTTCTTGATGTCAGTAACGGTTGCAGGTTGTGCATAACGAGGAACAGAAATGCAGTGCTTCGCCATCTTTAGTTTGTTCGCTTTAAAAACGTGACTCACAGACAACGGAAGGTCATTATCCTGAAGATACTGCGATTGGACACATACAGGAATCCTCGTATGCATTCTGTTGTAGGGGTAAAAAAGCGAACAAGATGCAGATTAGGGCGGAGAAAGAATAAATCGGATGAGACAGACCGCGATTAACCGAAGGGAGAAATCCGAACAAGGGTTGCTGTATTAAACATACTAAGCGTCCCACGGCACGTTAAATAACAGGGAACAGGTTAGGTTACAGGGTACACCTGAACCAGAACAATTACTTTTGCTGCACACATAGTATAGCACTGTGTGCAGAATGATAAATTTTAAAAACATGCAAGCATAAGTTAGTAGATATATATCCGTCAAATGTCGTATAAATATTCAGGATTTTAACAGCTCACTAAGTTACACCACAAACTTCATATTTTGTTACTAGTTATACTCTTTTACTCTATCTTGTACTAATTTGCTTGCCTAAGCAGTAAATATATAACAATTTTTTATTAATCGTTTTTATAGCGCCCGATTTAGGTTGCAGTTCAAAGTCGTGCATATCGTCAGACAATCGGCACCTGAATTAGCTGAACAACCGCTGTTTATTGTAAGCCCGCCACAGTCTCTGGCATTTAGACGCAGTATAACAAACTGCAACAAGTTATTAAATGCTTTATGGTGAAGAACCAGGTACATCTGTAGTCAAAGTAATACAAACGGCAGGATTTCGCACCTGTAATTTATCTTACTCAAAAATCAAACTTGAACACTTGTGCATGTTTCCGGTGGATGACAATTGTTGCATTCCACGAACAATTAAATGCCTACAGTAGACAATGAAGCTGTTGGGTTTTTCTGCTGCTATTTACTCCTAAATTATGAATAAAGTATGTGATTTTACGCTTTAATGTTCGCATGGCTTGATGGCAAAACCAATGAACAAAAATATTTGGTGAAGCATTGTGCATATTTAATGTTGCCTTCCGTGTTACCTGCTGAGCTAATTCTTGTCGATGCATTGTGTGGCAACATGTACAGAGCAGGAGTAAACAACACTGACAACTCCGTCGATTTCGATTCATTCTGAGTTGTTTGCCTGTCGCTTTGTCACGAACTTCCTGGAGGGTGCGCCTCAGTTGCGGTGACAGCAGCAGGCATCCAGCATTCTCAGTGATTTGTCCTCCGAAGCCGGATGGCGTGTCCCGAACTTTCCCGGTAGACGGCTGCAGTCTTTTGCCACGTTGGTGGATAGGGTGACTTCCATGCTTTTTAGAACATTTCGTGCCTGGTCGCATGCGGAAGGTTCGGCATTTGCTTTAAAGAATGGTTGCAACTTACTTCTGAGTACGACTCGTAAAATGTAGCTTGTGTAAATATCTTAATCCCGTCGACGTCGGAACTAAAGTAGTGCAAGTTCCGTTTCTAGAACCGAATGACCTATGGGAAGGCAGGAATAAGCGTAACAGATTTCGTAGCGCTCCTGTGATAATTTTCCATCAGAATGCACTTAAACTTGGAAGCGGATGGATAGGCAGTAGGCTGCTGTCTAACCTAAACAGAGGTGTCAAGTGCAAGTGAAAGTCCATTTAGGAGCGGAACAATAGGATAATCCCGTGGATATTCCTTCCTTTGCGAATTGTTGGCTTGGGAAATGATAGGTCTGCTTGAGAAGTTGAAAAACCTAAAACTGATACCACATCACACCCTGTCTGACAAATTACGGTCCACAATTTCCTGCACAGCAGCCTGTGTCAGGCTGGTTTATGTAAAGAAAGAGATTGAAGGGTAAGCTAAGAAAACAAGAGGAGGAATGGCAGCTAAATAATGAGAAACCAAGGTGTGTGAAGTACTTTAAATAAGCAGGGAAAGATGAAGCTATAAGTCGGTTGGAACAATGAATAATGAATATTGATTTATCACTAGATAAAAGCAAGTGCTTGACAAGTCCCGTAGGATTGTTGGGGTGAATTTGATGAAGTCAAAATATAGCTGATTCATCTACCGAACGTCTGAGTAGCTGAATACGTCGATAACTTGCATCCGTGTAAAATTAAACAAATCTAGCGTATAAGTTCAGAACGACTCTGAAGTGCAGTGATCGTTGATGTAAAACGTGAGGAAACTAAAATATGTTTGCTCAATTTGGTCCATTTGATACATAAATCCTGTTGAAAACCTGCTTGGCGGAATGCACGATAGAGAAGTTTATGTAACTAAATGCTGGGAGCTAAGTGAAATATCTAACCGTTTTTTGAACACGTCCAAAGAAGGAGAGGATACAACTGAGTCTAGGAGTGTGTTCCAGGGTTGGCAAACCCGAAGGGAAAAGTAATTCCGTCAACACTCTAGAAGGCTATATTGTTCCTTCAATTTTAAGCAGTTACCCCTGAGCTGTGTGTTGTGACTAAGTTTCCGCAAGTAGTAGCATACGTGGTTGCGGTCGTTCGATATCTGATTAGCTAAAATGTGATCGCCGCGCAGCCGTCGATAGCGTCCGCTGAAAATTCCCAGCAACTTCAGTCTCCGGTGGTAAGAATGATAGCGCAGATCATTTAAATACTTTGTTGCTATTCCTTGTGGTGCCTCTAACGCTTCTAGGTCGCGCTTCAACCAAGGTTACCAAGCTTGGATATCGTATGCTATGTGCGTGCGCACCTAGGAATTGTGCATCATTGGGAAGACTGATTGGTCACATCTCCCAAATGCCCTTCGCGGTCGCTTTCCGCAACTACTTCAGCCAGTTTTGAACAGTTGAGTTCGCTATGCATGAGCACACTCAAATGTTACTTTCCTGGGAGCAGGTCTGCACTCCGTTTGTCCCAAGTACATAGATCTAGTTATATCTATGGCTTAATGGTACAACACGACATTTGTCTATGTGGAATGGTAGGGATTTTGGCACTGACCAGTTCGACACCATGTTCAGTTCGCACTGGAGCCGTTCGTGGTCTTCCGGTCCTTGATCCCTCGTCATATCTTGATATCGTCAGCGAAAAATAGGAAATCGGAAGCAGTTGATCTCGCCAAATTGTTAATGAACACTAAGAATAGACGAGGTCCATGCACCCAGCCTTGTGGTTCATCACACACCACATCGATTGCATCGGACAATGATTCTGGGACTCTCACCACTAGCCGTCGTTCGTGCAGAAAATTTTTAATCCAACTCAGGATTTGGTCGCCAATGTCTTAGTTCCAAAGTCTCTGAAGGAGAATGCCCTGATCTAAGCGAGCAACCGCTTTTGAAAAGTCCAGGTAGATAAAATCGACTCCTACTCCATCATTTACAGCTTCTGCCCAGCTATTACGTGTAATAATTAGGTTAGTATTACATGAGCGCTTTTGACGAAAGCCATGTCGCTCTGGATCTGTTACGTTGTAGATTTCCCGATACTGCACCAGCGCACCCGCGCTGACGGCTTCCATTACTTTGGATAGCACGGGAAGTAGTGTTATTGGACGTTAGTTGGCAGGATCAGTGCGGCTACCTCCTTTATGGATAGCCGTGACGATCCCTCGCTTCCATACTGGTGGAATACGGTTCTGTTCTAGGCCTCGCTGATACAAACCCCCAATGATTCTGTTAGATCACTAGCTACCGTCTGCAGAGTCTTTGGTCGGATGTTGTCGGCTCCGGGAGAATTGTGGATACGCAAGGATAACAACTTCTTCAACACAACTACCGCAGTGAAGGTGATATTGCCTAAACCAGATGGTGAAGTATTAAAAACGAAGAGAATGTTTAGGCTCGTTATCTGCTGGAAAGTTTGGGAGTACTTATGCCTTAGGATATCAGGTGATTCCATTGCTGATCGCGTGCACCATCAGCCGTGACTAGTGCTGGAACCCAACTTCACAGTTCGAAGGCTGTTAACGTGCCTGTACAGAAGTTTGCGGTCCGTGCAGTATGGTTTCATTAACTCCTGCTGCTGCGTGATCTTGTCTTCGCGGATCAGGTGCACGCAAAATTTATGGTGTATCACGTATGCTGTCGAGATTTCGGTATTCAAGCAGTTTTTGTTATCTTGCTATGTCACATCCCTCCGTGACATCGGTTTACGTGTTCTGCTCTTCAGAAATGACTTCTGCTTGTTTTTGGGTTGGAAGGACTTCTGCTCCGATGCGTTTGCAACCATTGTAATAAACGTCCTTATAGATGTTTACCAGGAAGTAACTGAGGGGCATTCAGTTAAGAAAGTCCAAGATGTATCTTTAACAAGCTGAGATAACACACTGTAGTGCGTGAAAGTATGAACTTTGTGGTTTTGTACGGCCACCCAAGAGCGTGTAACTGACGCTCGGAACCCTCAAGCTTAGACTTCCTAATGACGTACTTCCGAAGCCCGCTCCAACGTTCCATAACTCCGCCTGCCAAGGGAGTAGCCGTCCTTAACCAATCAGAAGTCATTTAGTGGAGCCTCATCGGGTGACCTTGGAGACTGCGCAGTCTGGCTGGACTAAATGGCCAGGACAACTGTGAGCTGATCTTACCTGTTATGATGAGATAAGTGAGGACAGGTCTACTCTAGTTCCGCGGTGGTGCATTGCGTACATGCCCAAGCTAAGCAAACGTACTGAATAAGTTTGCCCCGTAATCCTTGAACTAACCTTGTACCCACTCGCAAGCCCCTCTCCAATTCCACTTCGTCTTCTAAAAACAAGCCTGGGTACAGTATTGTAAGTGGGGTCACAAAACAGCTGTTAACAGCTTCAAAAAGGTATTGGCTGGTAGGACACCGAAGGAGCAGCGAATAAATCACGTCATACGGAACGCAGTACATTCTTCCTCCAATTGCCTCCAGAGTGGAACACTGTGGTGTAGACGATAACTAAATCAACCTGATGAGTGATAACAGGGAGTTCACCTTCGCCAAATACATAGTGCGTGGGGTGACTAGCACCTCCAGTGCGGATGACAGAACAGTTCGCTTGATTTATAGGCATCAACCACAAGGTTGACCAAGCCCAGAGCCCATCCAAGGCACTCTGAACTACCTTAGAGCCACCAGCGATCGTCACAATCTTCCAGAACTTGAGATCATCAACAAACGATAGCGACAGTACTGTAAGCTCCTAGGGTAGGTCATTGACATAAATTGTGAAATGCAACGGCCATAGAACCGATCCCTGCGGAACGCTACTAAGAAAAGCTTGTCTATGCGGAAGGCTATGCCCCACGCATAAACACTGTTATCTCCCCTCTAGAAAAGCAGACATCCATTTAAGGGCGGCCCCAGACAACCTATACTATT